ATCAGAGCAAAATATCTTGAAGTAGGAATACCTAGATTCTTTTCATACCTTCCTGAAAAGTTTAAAAACTTCAGAAAGTTTGCCACAAAGATTATGGCAATTTTTGGTTCTACCTATGTGTGTAAACAGTTATTTTCCTTCATGAAATCAACAAAAATTCAGAGAACAAGGCTTACTGATCAACATTTGTCATCTCTGTTCAAAGTCAGAACTGCACAGACATTTCAGCCAGACACACCAAAAATTGTCAGCAAAAAGAGGTTTCAAGCCTCAGGACAAAAAACTAAAACTGATTGATTAGTAGCAAATAAATGCTCAGTTTTGAACTGTTGTAATTTTTTTACAATGTATTCATTGCTGTTGTATATGTTGTTATTTAAACTTTTATTTATTTTCTATCAAACTATAATATTGACTTGAGATATGAGTTTAATTTGTTCCAAGATCAAGTTTGTAACTCCAAAGACTTGTATATCAAATCAATTTTCCCTACTGAAATTAATGGAAATATTTCCAATCCATTCTAGGCCCCTAAAAATTCCCGACTGGTCTTTACACTTACTTTTTTGATCACATGGTGTCACTAAAGGAATTTTGCAAAATAACACCAAAAAAGACGCAACACAATGCAACAAAGATCATTCCAGAGCAGTGGTGAATATGTGTACTGTGGATGCTAAGCTGATACTCATTTATATCTTAAAATTCAGCTCATATCTCAAGGCAAAAAACTGGCCAAACTCCAGCTCGTATCTCAAAAAATTCATATGTCAGGATGCTATCTCAAAGTAATACTGTTCTTCCTTACTTTGTATTCATGAATCCTGCTAAAACATTTGTATGCACATTGTGTTTTTCTAAATTTAAGTAACAATAATATTCTGCAATAAATTTTATTAAATGACTCCAATTAGTTGTAATGTGCACAACTGGTTGTCATGTGTGGCCCTCATGACAACACATATTTGACTATGTGGCCATCAGGAGACCCTCAGTTTGACATACCTGATGCATACGATCCATTACTAAAGATGCTGGAAAAATGGTTGGCTTATTCTACCACATTAAGAAGTACCTGACTCTTGTTGTGCTTTATCTTTACAAGAATCAGATTAGATCTGAAATGGAGTATTTCTGCCATGTCTGAATTAAAGCTACTCAATCCACAGATCATATTTATTTATGGGGTCATGTAGGGGATGACATTTTCTATTCTAAAATTACTTTCTCTATTGACACAATGTTACAAGCCTATCACTACTCTGTTGCTATTTCCATGGCAAATGTTTTGATGAGGTCCACCCTTTGGTTCCAACAGTTCAGACCTTTATAGCTAGCATTTGCCATGCTACATCTACAGAGTTGAATCAACCATATTTTCTCTATATTCCAAATGAAAGGAGGAAGTTTCACTTAACTTTTTCTTGAAAACTGATACTTTGTAGAACAAACTTGCATGCTAATATAGTTTTTGTTTAGGTTTCCATCAATTTTAACCATTTCATGCAACCCCCACCATTATGTATCCACCATCAAATTTTACTGTTTTTGTGGTGTATCTTGCATTGTTTCTGATATGTTCTGGAAAGGGGTATATTTGAACAAAGTAGCTAAGTGGTTTTGGCTACTATAACCAAGTAGAATATGGTACACGTCATAGTTGCAGGTAAGAAGTGTAGATTAATGGCATAGTCCAATAGGCGTCATTATAGACTTAGATCTCAGACTCTCCTATACATCCGTCGATATTTATGACGGACTCCAGCCAATCACACTCCAGTGAGGGGGAACACAGGTGTATGCATATTCCATTATAGTGATTTTCCAAGCATAGCCTAGATGTGGCACAAGGCCGAAATTAGGGGGCACCCAGTGAGAATCGAACTCACTACTCAGTCGTAATAGTTCTAGCGAGACAAGCTTGCTAACCATTACACCACCTCGAGGTGCCCAGAGATTTTCCAAGCGTAGCTTAGATGTGGCACAAGGCCAAAAGTATGGGGCACCTAGTGAGGATCAAACTCACTACTCAGCCGTAATTGTTCTAGTGAGACACGCTTGCTAACCATTACACCACCTCAAGGTGCCCTATGCATATTCCATTATATCAGTTTCTAAAAAAACTTGCTAATGTTCAACTAAAATGATTTGCCAAGGCACCTTATATTCATATTAATAAGAAGGAACAATTCCAAGTTAGAAATTGACATATTATCATGACTTTATCATCTCAGATCTTTCATTGGCCTAATATTTTTGCATGGCCTTTTTCAGCTTCAAGCTGCTTAAAGTAGTGTATGTTCTGTTACATGGCACCTACAAAAATGCAACAACATATTTTCTAATCTTCAAGATCCACAGACAATCCTGATAAAAGCATACTGCTAACCAATCTTAACTTCTTAATAAAATAAAGGCATCTAATCATTTTATGTAGCTTTCTCAAAACTTTTGTACACCAATGTACTAATCAGAATCAGTATTATGTCCATACATTTTATATACTAATCAGAATAAAGCTCGTTAGTGCCTAAATCAAAATCTGATTTTTCAACATTTCCTCTATCTCCTAACCAGATTTAGATATAAACTAAACAAACAAGATTTTAGTGTCTCACTTTGAAAAATTATCCTCTATAAAACCTTTTAACATGGGGTCACCAATTTTTAAATAGAGCCTCTCTAAGTCTGATTATGCTAACAAGCATGTGACCCTTATTATCAAGATGGGGAGAAGATAGAGATATGTTTCAACCCCACCCACAACCAATGAACATAGTGGTCAGGTGATATTCATTACTATTTTCATTCTTTAGTTTGTGAGTCACTTAATTATTTATCATGGTCAGCTAGATTCTGAGATGTAAATGTCAACAGTCACTTCCATCAAGTCGCAAGGAAGTGGCCTGTAAACCATAAAGTCAAACATTTATTGTATTATACAATCTAAAAGACAAGTGCATTTTTAGAAAAAAACAGTGCTGTTGGGAGTTAGCAATTGTTCGCAGCAATTCATTTTGATCTCTTACACTGTATAAGTAAAGATTTTGTTATTTAAATTTCCATTCATAACAACACATGTGCAAAGTAATGTTTAGAAAATTTTTATTTTAAAAGAAAAAAAAATGTGTCAACAAATTTTGAGATAGATCTAATGAGGATCTCTAATCATGAATGACTAGAAGAAATTGATCATTTTCTTACAACATTCAAATTGTATAAATAACAATCTCAAATTCTATACATCTTACAGCATTCAAATTTTATAAATAACCATTTTTTAATAATAACCATCAATGAAAAAAAAAATAATAATACATTCTTCTTCTGTCAGGATCTTACCAACTTGAAATTATATGTTGTATCCTTAAAGAGGTTACAAACAGACAAAGGTGGTCCTTGAGTAGAAGGAACAGCAACACGTGTGTAGATAAAAGAAAGAGAGGTTTATTGTAAAAGGGAATACACTACTGAAAGACGGGGAATTGGTTAGCAAGCTAGTAATTCCCGAAGCAAGGATATCTACCAACTGCCCCATGTAGTCAGATGTGGCACAAGGCTGAACTTAATGTTGGGTATCCGAGCCTGTAGGCTCGGCCAAAAATTCCCCGTATAAAATGGGGTTGGATAGCTGTTTCCCAAGAAGAGACTCTACCCTTTGACATAGCCTTGTCTGGGGGTCCTCTCTGCCCAGAGGCAAAGAGTTTAACCATCTTGGCTGGAGACAAATCTCCAATTAATTCCCGAAGTAAAGTTATTTACCTTACCTCTCCATGAGGCAGGATGTGGCACAAGGCTGTTTTTTAATGCAGACAAAACCGGGCATGTAGGCTTTGGCAAAATTTCCCCATAGACCCTAAATGTATTCGGGTAGCTGTCTACCACCCCAGATGAGACTCTGCTCTTTGGCATAGCCTCGTCTGGGTTCTTCTCTGCCTGAAGGCAGGGAGTTCGACCAGCACAGTTGGAGACAAATTGCTGAAGCAAGGATATTTACTTTACCCACCTGCGTGGCAGGATGTGGCACAAGGCCTTTTTTTAATGCGGGGTCAAAACTGAACCAGTATGCTCAGGCAAAAACTCCACAGACCCTGCACACGCAGGGTCAGGCAGCTGTCCACCACTGCAAATGAGACCCCGCCCTTCGGCACAGCCTTGTCTGAAGACAGAGTTCAACCAGCACAGCTTGAGATGAACCTCCAACTAATTGCCGAAGCAAGGATATTTGCTAACTGCCCCACGTAGTCAGATGTGGCACAAGGCCGAATTTAAAGTGGGATATCTGAGCCCGTATGTTCGGGCAAAAATTCCCCGTAAACCCTGTAAAAAACAGGGTCGGGTAGCTGTCTACCACCCCAGATGAAACTCTGCTCTTTAGCATAGCCTCGTCTGGGTTAACTGGAGACAAATCTCTAACTAATTGCTGAAGAAAGTCTGACAGGTATATTCTGTGCTTACTATATATATCTACTGATATAGTCAGTCCACACAGGTGACAGGGAGTGTGGGACATTCCATTACAACATATAACTAACTTTCAAATTATATACATCAATAAGAAAATAATGCTATCTTCAATCTTCAATCAGTGCTCTACAATGAATTACAATCTCTAATAATAAACATTAATGAAGAAAATTATCCTTTCTTCATGTTAGTGTCTTAAAGTATCAATAAAAACAGTAATTTTCCATTTGGACAAAATGATCGCTTCAACATTATACATATAGTATTCATGATTCTCTCTCTATTCTCCTGTTCATCACTATTTTCTAAGAAATATATATGTGTAATATATATTGTTCTATGTTCCATGTCCCTTCAGGACGTTGGCGATCATGGCTCTCCACAAATTTCTGTCCTTTGTAGATCTTAATAAATTTTGTCTTTTACTTATCTCTCCTAAATCTTGTTTCACTGTGCATTTACCCAAGCTCACTAGGTAGGTTACATGTTGTTTTCCTCTCTCCTTCTTGTCATCAAGGCTTACAGCCACATAATGTTGAAACACTAGTTCCTGTATAATCACCAAAGTTAAGCAATGTCAAGCATAGTCAGTACTTAGATGGGTGACTGCTTGGGAATACCAGGTGCTGTAAGCTTGGATGTGTAGGTGGTGTAATGGATAATTGCTCAGAATTGTTAATCAGAGTGCCAAGTTAAAATTCCATTGGTTTCTTTGCATTCATTTATGTGCAAATACCCCTAGGAAAGGTATGAATACACGTTATCCTCCAAGCTATGTGTTAATTAGTAAGACTTGTATCACTAAATCATTATTATTTAATAAAAATTCTTGCAACCTAAAAATATTTTCTGGCTTTATATAAGCTGCAAAGGGTTGATAGGCCATAAAAAACAAATCAATCAATCAATCTTGTCTTCAATATGCCCTGTGTGTATTAAATTTTCTAAGCTTTAGAAGTTTCAACTCTCACTTTCTGATATTAAGTATAAATTTTCTTTTAGTTTCCATTTTCTCTAAAACTTCATTATTGCTTAAATGTTCATTCCTTGGTATTCTCAGCATGAGATGTGAGCTGTGTGGATAGGCATTTATTTGTAAAAAAAATGTACAAGAACCTTTTCGTGGAACAAAATATTTTTGTACCAATCTTGTTCTTGCTACATAAGTATTATCCAAGTAACAAAAATTTCTCAAACTTTGGTTTCAAAATTACAAAAATAAAAAAAAATTCCTTACATCTTGTTAATTTTGTATTTCTAAATTTGGGATTTTCTAAATTTGGGATTTTCTAAACATATAACAAAAGTTGGATTAATCAGTGCATGGCGATAGTCATCAAAGTAATGGCAGAGGGTGAAGAATGGAAAAGTAAAAATCTTGATTCGATTAACAAGCAAGAAAAATTTCTGTTATGCAGTCTGATCCATGCAAACATAACACCTTTCTTTTTCTTTCCACTATCACCCCCCACCTATTCTGCTGATAATATCTTTCCCTCCCTTCCCCATCAATTCTTGTCTCCCACCCTCCATGGTCTTTGTTGCTAATTCTTTGGTCAGGGGAATGATGTCCACTTAAAGAACCCTGCAATAACAGCTGTCCATTTCTGAAGAATGCCACAATGGAAAGCCGCCAAAGCTGATATGGGAAGGAGTCATCACATCACTTTTCCTCTACCCCAGACAAGACTACCACTCCCAAGATTAAACATGCTACAAATACTGCTGCTACTGCTGCTTTTGTGTTTATTTATTATTTGGAATTTCCTAATCAATGTTGTCTCCCCCATTTCTCTTGTCCTCAGTTAAAATACTTGGAGTGGTTCTCTTATTCTTGTGCATGTGTGCCTGTTTGCTGGCTTTCCTGCCTGCATGCAAAATAAGTCTGGATTTGTGTCTGTGTGTCTGTTGCTGTTGAGACTGAATACTGATCTGCAGACATCAGGAATGACAGTGCTTAATTATCATAACTTTCATCTTATACAATGGCACACGTATGCACACATATACAAATAAATAAATATACACATGTACACTAATGTATATATTTATATATACACATGAATTTTCTTAATTGGATATTATCAGGAGTAAAAAAAAGCAAGGAAATAGATAAACAGCTGAGAGACATGCCATGTAAAAATGAACAACTGGGAATATTAACTGAAGAAGTTTGGTAACTCCAGGCAGAAACGTGGAGAATAAAAATTATGTCCTCCCAGAAAAATTATTTTCACAAACACAACATCACATGCCTATTGCTACTTTATCAGTAATTTCATGGCAAATTTTCAGACAACTTGCATTCTTAGTGGCACCACTTCAGACATTTTCAGCCAAAACCCACCTTGCTATATCCACAGAGTTGAATCACCCTCATTCCCTATGTATTCTTTTAGCAAAAAGGATATTCCACCCAAAGCTTCAATCACTATGTTGTGGAATAGACTTTAATCTTAACTTCTTCAAGTCTAGAGTCAATTGTTATCTATCCACCATATCCTTGTAATTTTTACTTCCTACTTCCTTCTGCTATCACACACCCTCATTCAGTGACACTCTATTTTGAGTGGCTCTTGGGCCTTGTATTGAGTGAACTTTATTTAAAAAGGTGAAACTGTGGCTTTTTACAATTGAGTATATAAATGCAAAAGTACTACTTATATAAAACCAGATAAACCAAAAGATATATACATTTATACCATTGGAGTATTCTTTTTTTGTTTTTCTAATAAATATTCACACAAGGCCCAAGATCCACTTAAGATAGAGGGTTAATAAATGAGATTGTTGTATGGATGTAAGAGGTGGAACAGATTATGAAGTTATGTAGGATAGCTAATAGTCAACCCTAGACTTGAAGGGATTAACATTGTAGTGAATAGGAGAAGCATCCTCTCAGGAATCTGTTTCACAAAGTAGCAGTTTTTGAGAAGAAGTGGTCTGAGCAGAACTCCCTTCTTGCCAATGAAATGAGGATGATTTAACCCTGCATATGAGATATGGTGGGTCCTATCTGTAAAGATCTAAACTGGTGGAACTAAGGAATATAGCTCATCTGAACATATAGAAAAAGTAATAGAGTAGTAACAGGTTTGAGGTTATTGGCGTGGGGGAGGCGATCCCAGTATGTGACCCCTTTGGAAAGTGCCTGAAAACCACACTACAGGTTGATCCAAACCTTGTGAGTGAAATTGGGCAGATGGAACTATTTGGAATCTGTTGATGATTGTGCAAGCATGAAGTCATAAGTCATCGTGACTGAGGGTTTGAGCATACTGTCCTTGTTCAAACTGTTGATCATACCAGATTATACACACACACTCTCTCTCTCTCTCTCTCTCTCTCTCAGAAACTGTAACTGAGTTTCTCTTAGTATAGTTACAGTATAAACAATAGGTAGGTGTTGAATAAACACAAATGTGCCTGAGGAGGTGTTTGCAACAGGGATTGGATTGGCTAGCCACCCTAGTAGACAGACATGTAGAGTTGTGTTATATAACGTACGTATGAACACTATAGGATATGTCCCAATCCTCATAAATACTTTGGACACTGTTGTAAGTGGGGGTAATATTCTGTCTAAGTAGTCCACCACTAGCAGTGGTTTACCTACTTCACGCCGCTGGCGAGTATTTTATTTTGTTGATGTTATAAAGATCATCATTTCATTTCCAACCTCTGTTTTGGTTATTCCTCATTCAGTAACCTTTTCTAGGTTACAACAGGTTGAAAATAATTCCTCACCCACAAGCAAGGCTGCGTAAATGCTGTTGAAATCTGTTAAATCTGTAAAGTAAGCATTGAGCAGCAATATTCCATTTTTGGTCTGATTTCTGTTGTAAAGATCTATTAGAGCAAAAGGAGTCAGATACTAAGTGGAGCAATACAAGGAACTGACCATATTTTATACATGGGTATATTCGATTAGACACTGTATGGGAAAATGATATATATAAATATATTTATATATATATATATAAACTGATATATAATAAACTTTTTATATATCAAGAACAATTTTAGGGAAATCTATGATAAAATGGAAAAAGTTTTCGATTGATGCATTTTGTCCTTTATGGATTTCTCAAACTAAAGTGATGTTTATGTTGATGCAACTACATATATGCACAAAAGAGGGGATACTGATAAATTTAAATTTAAATTAATTTTTTCTTAAATATATATGCATTGAGTATATGTATAACAATTAAATATATATATATATATATATATATATATATATATAATAATTAAATATATATGCATTGAGTATATGTATAACAATATATATATATATATATATATATATGTATAACAATTAAATATATATGCATTGAGTATATGTATAACAATTAAATATATATATATATATATATATATAACAATTAAATATATATGCATTGAGTATATGTGTAACAATTAAATATATATATATATATATATATATATAATTAATTAAATATATATGCATTGAGTATATGCATAACAGTTATATATATATATATATATATATATATATATATATATATATATATATATATATATATATATAACAATTAAATATATATGCATTGAGTATGTAATCTTTGAAACTTCATTTAGTTTCTTTTTGCTTATGTATTTATATTTAATAACAAAAGCAAAAAGAAAGTAAACGAAATCAGTTCGTCTATATACCCAAAGCATATATTTACAGATTCTGACAGCTATTAGGGAGATGTGATTAAATAAACTTTAATGTTTAAAAAAATTTATTTGATATTATTAATCAAATCCATTATATTCACATACGTGCTAATACTCTTAGGAAAGGTATGAATCCTCTTCTCCCTCCAGCTATGGCTTTAATAGCAGGACAGACCAAGTTCTATAGACTTGGATGGCAACTGGTCTACCACAGAAAGAAATGGCAACCTACTGTGTGAGAAAATCTGCCTCCTCAGTCATGTATCGAAAGATGCATGATCACTTAAGCATGTATCACGCATGGCACATAACTGAATAAGCATTATAACATAGCACAACTGCATGGAATGGCATACACACAGTCCTTAGTCATGTTCTTTTTTTTGTAAAACAATTTGCCCCAAGCAAGGCAGAAGTGCCACTAGCATACAAGAGGTTACAGAAGATTGACAATAAGAGTAAAGAGGCATATTTGAGGAAGGATGGAAAACAAGTTCAGGGTGTCAGATGTCAATTGACATTACACTTGAATATTATATAGTTATCAGGAAAGCAAGCAAGAGGAAGAGAGTTCTACAGACAGGAAGTGCAAGAGAAGAAGCTGTTTGATTAGAAGAGATGGTTGCATTTAACCGTTTCAACAGGGAAAGGGTAGGATTGAGATGCCAGCCTAGTAGCTCGCTTAAATTCATGCAGTCTGGAAACCAGAGAAAGCAGCTCGTCGAAACAGTTGCTGTGAAAATACTTGTAGAAGAGACAGAGAGAAGCCATGGCACGTCTGTGAGAAAGCAATTGTAGACTAGATGCCAGATCAGGATCTATCATCTTGCTTATTCATCTCTGGATTTTGTCAAGGACCTCAAAACATACTGGGGGAGCACCAGACCATATACAACAGCAATATTCCATGCAAGGATGGATGGTTGATTTATAGATTTGAAGGA